GCTAGAACACAAGTTCTTGAGCAGATGGTGGATTACTTTTCCACCTTGAGGGATGACTATAGTTCCCTTTTAGACGAGCTGAAGCAAAAACAAGAGCTCCAAGCGCAGGGAAAGACCCGACCACCGCCACGCGCTAGGATATTTGGAGGCCGGAAACCTAAACCCAAGGCTCCAAATTTTCCAGCTGGGAATGTTGGAGATGAAATGAAGGAACTGACGGCCACTTTGGAAAAAGCCGCTCTTCAGCTGGAAACCACTTTGACGAGGAAGGTCTCGACTGATCATGTTGAAGCTCCAACTCCAGAGGTGGAAGATCCAGATGCAGAGGAGGCTGAAGGGGCCGAAGATCCTGAAGATCCTGAAGATCCTGAAGATGCTGAAGAGGATGAGCAGGATGAGCAGGATGAGCAGGATGAAGATGAGGATGAAGAGGACGAAGAGGATGAAGTTGAGGAACTCGAAGATGAGGACCTTGACGAAGACGAGGAACCTGAGGAACTGGACGAAGAGCAGGAGCGCGGCAAAGCTGGAGCTGAGGTCCCTGACAGGACAGAGGATGCAGACGATGCACCTGATGCCGGTCTGGGTGGAACCCTTCGTCTCGAAGATCCAGTTTTTGAAGACCCAGCCGTGGAGACGAAGCCTTTGGAAGATGAAGCGCCTCAACCCGAAGAGCAGCCAGCAGCTTCAGAGCTTCCAAGGGCAGAAACTGAAATCCCAGCAGAAACTCAACCAGCAAAAGCCAAGGGGAAGGCCAAAAAGAAGGCCAAGGCAAAGACCAAGAAGACTGAACAGGCCAGGAATAAAATGAACATTTCATCCAAAGTCTCCCAAAGATAGTAAACGAGGGTATGGTGAATTATGGTGATCTCCGTGATTTTACGGGATTCGAAATATATCAAGAAGCTATCAGGGCTATTAACATCTATTAACAGCGTCAGCATCCACCAGAACAATTTCGACCTCCTTGAGTTGACATAACCTCTGGTACTTGAACTTGCAGAAAAATCCTCGACGATTTTCAGTGATTTTCATGATTTTCATATTAATTACAAATGTTGCTTTGACATACATTTTTGCGGGTGAGACCAACCAAGATGTCCCAAGCCAGGCTCCAAAGAAAGCTGCCAAAGTTGCTCCAGCCGTGGGCGTGCCGCCCAAGACGACAACGGCAGAGATTCCTGCGGTATCCCCCGCGGAGCGGCCCAAGGCCACAGCAAAGTCCAAGCAGCGGCCCGTGGAAGAGGAGGGCATGTGACTGGACAGCAGACCCACTGTGGTTGGTTTCAACAAAATCCCTGGGATGATGCAGATGATCCCTATGGGTGGAGCCACGAACTAGTCAAGGTTTTCGAATGTTGTGTTTGGTGCCTTCGGAGTTATCCTGTTGAGTCAGGGCCATGGGTCGGTTAAAGATGTTTTTCCACAGCAAGCAATTTAGATGTCCTTTTATAGTCACACATATAACGTTAAGGGTGCCACAAAGGGCTCTGAAGCGTGTTCATCCATTTTTGGCATTTCCAGGTCTTGCGTGCAAACTCTGGAAATGGGCTTGGCTGTGCGCAATGCAATTTGCATCGGTATGGAAGTGTGGACGGTGGATTGGGCTGGCAATGTGACTGTCCGAGAAAGGGATGATGCCACAAAGGTCAGATGTGAGATTCCAACCAACCGCTGCTAGTTGGTGGTTTGCATATCTACCTGATTTTCACGTGCATAATAATATAATAATATATGAATAATATGTATATATATATTATTATATTATATTTTATATGTATATGTATATGTATATGTATGTGTATGTGTATGTGTATCTGTATGTGTATCTGTATCTGTATCTGTATATGTATAATGTGTATGTACTTAGTATATATATGTAATTTCATATTTCTTTTTGTATCCCTACTGGCTTGGGATAGTGATCCCCAATGACTAGCCCATTTTGGCAAACCGGTGCTTCAGGCTTTGTCTGGAGCATGCTCCACATGGAACCTCACTTGATGTGGATGGGCCAGGAAGCGATGGGCATCTCCCTCTTTGACACGAAACGGAAAGAATTCAAGGGCTCCCTGCTGGGTGGCCACACAGGTGGTGTCACGTGCCTTGCTTCTGGAGATGCTTTGGATGGACCTGAAATCGAGAAGGGAGCCATCCCCAGAAGAAGAGCCTGGAGTGGTAGCAATGACTTCACGATTCGTCAGTGGTCCATTGAAACCTGGCACATCAAAGACAAAGATTCCGCATCAACAGCGAAAGATGCTTTCGTCTTTGACCTAGGGAAGTTCCGGGTGGCTCGTGAGTATTTAAGCTCCTTTTTTTTTTGGATGGCGGATTGGGTTGCTACAGGGTGAAATTGGCCTCAAATTTGCCACGGGCTGAAAGATCAGGTGGCGATTTCGAAAGGTTTGCAAATGCACGGCCACAAGAACGGCGTGCGCTGCTTGATTCGCATCGGTCCAACGCTTTGGTCAGGGGCTGACGATGGAAGCATCCGGCTTTGGTGCACAGTCACAGGAAACTGCAACGAGGTAGTGGAGAAGGCGGCGTTGCCAAAATGGGGGGTCTTCCCTTCAATCCCCCAAGGGAAAAGATCAACGTTCTAAGTTCTAAGTATTTGGGAACTACAGATGGACTGGTCATTTGTAGATTTTGCAGGAAGTCATCCCATGTTCTGCAAAAAAAAACGACTCATCCCCAAAATTGCTTAGGGATCCCAAGATTTTGTTTTGTTGACAGATTGACTTGTTGCTCCCATTTTTTTCCTATGGCCCCTACCAGCCCTACCAGGCGCACGCTGGCTCAGTGCTGAAGTTGGCGGTGGTGCGATCCTTCATTTGGTCGTCTGGCTCTGATGGATTCATCCGGGAGTGGACCTTGGGCGGCTCGGAACGGCAGTGCGTGCGCGAAGTGGCCCCTGTGGGCTTCGACAAGGGAGCCTACAACATAGTTCCCTTGGGACATGATGTGTGGACCTGTGGACACCATCCGAAGACATAGATTTGTTTCAGCCACGTCCAAGGAGTTTTCTTTTTTTAAAGGGTTTCTCTTTTTGACTTTGCTTTGATTGTTTCTTCATGGCTTTAATTTTCTTGAAGAATCCCAAGTCAACACTTTCAATCGAAGGAACATTCAAGTCTTTTCTCAAGCCGATTTCTTCAAGACTGCTGAGCATCCAGCCCATGAGCCCTACGTCTCCAATCTGCTGACAGTGGACCGGGTGGAGACCAAAATCGTTTGGTCCACTTCTATAGGCGACAAGAAGCTAAAGGTGCCAGGGTGACAAGGTTAGTGCATTTTCTGTTTCAGTCCCACCAGTGCACATTCTCCTTTGAGATCAAACCTCAATCTGCAAGTCTTTTTCTTTGGTTCCAGTTGAATTCTTTCAGGAGCTTTTTTGTTTCCCCGTTTTTTCCCATTAAAAAAGTTCCCACCTTTTTCTCCCTGCCGGTTTCACGGCTCCACTCCAGGTGTGGCGGCACACCATCCGGGGCTCCGTGCCACAGGTGGATGAGTTGAAGGCAGCGAACCGTTTGTTCGAAGAAGAGGAGGAGGTGTCCGGCAGATGGGGCCGGGGATGGGAGCTCGGGATTTGGCCACAAGGGCAGTTACAAACTTTTTGCGCTAAGAATTGGGGGGCTTCATGGCTGTTTTTGTGGTTGTTCGAACGTGTTTGGATAGTGTTTTCTCACCAACTGAGTTTGGGAGAACTACCTTACTTGAAAGAGTCAAAGTCAAAGGGAAGCGTTTGGCCACCCCGGGTCCACAGAGAGTAAAATGGTTGCGACATTTTGTTGATATGGCTCAGCCCCCGCACAGAGGGTCCTGTTTCATCGAACGGACTCGTGTGTTTTAACTTTTCTCCTGCACACTGAAACAGCAGCAGAACGCTGAGTCCAACGCCACGCATTGAGGTGAGAGCCAAACGACTGGATGATTTTGTCAAGAGAACTGCGATGCTGGAGGTGGCAGACTTAGTTCTCGCTGCGAAAAAAAACTGTATTAAAGCTTTGATTTAGGGTCTTCATACTGGACGCCAGCATCTTGAGTATTTGCACCTAGGAATCCTAGGACCTTTCAATTTGAAGCTTTGGTTTAGTGTTTCTATGTCTTTCTAGGATTACAGAGACAAGTTTCTGCAATGGATTGCATCCAGTGCCAAAGTGCCAAGGATGCACTGGCAGTTTCAACTGAAGAATACAAGAACCAGCTGAAGGTGCTTGGGATTTCTTGGTTTTGGTGCGACAGTGACTAATGACTAACTTTACTTGGAGTCGGACCAACTTGAATTTTCCATTGACATCCTAAAGAAGGGCATTCGCTTGTCTGAAACTAGGGTACCCCATTACATCCATTACATCCATCGGTGAATCATCATTTTCCCACATTTTCCGTACAAAGTGGCCACAAAGAATCGGCATTCCCCTGATTTTCAGACTATTTGACAGTGGTGTGTCGGGTGCCAAAATATGGTGCTTCGCTACCAGGAGATGGGCAACATGTTGGCGGCATCAAAGACAGACGCTGAAGAGCTCAGGGCCAAGTGTAGAGCGCTTGAGGCGGGCTGGGGGAGCTGCGCTGTTTACTTGGGGGATACCATTGCGGAGATAAAACTTTTGGGGTAAGCCCCAAAGTAATTGCACTAGTTCATCAACCAGGTGTTGTGTATTAATCTAGGGTTAACACTGAGTCGATTGTAAGTTGTATGTACACGGAGACCAGCACTCATGGCAGTGGCACCATTTGAAGAGCAACCACATGATACATGACATGGACAATTTGGATGTTGTGGTAAGGATGAGCTGGACGGCATTCGAAAGCTCTTTGAAGACATGGGATTAGGCCTGGCGGAGGATCTGATGTTTCGCCAACGGATGACTTGTGTGACAGCAGCCAGGAAAGCTGATGGAAGATCCAGAGGTGAGTTGTCCACCAGGGATAGCCGCTGTAAAACCCCTGGAAGCTACTGCGCGCATGAGATATTTTTATTGTCGTGGAATGCCCTTCGTATTGTTAGAGGCAGACTTATTAAGTGCATTCAAAAGCGAGAACGCCCCTTCGTTGTTCTTGGTGACCGCCGAACTGCTTTTAGCAGATGGCTCCTGGACTCCTCGCTAGGCACTCGCCAAATTCCTGCGGAGAGCACAGTCGATTGAAAAGGCCATTAGAAAATAAATAGTTGTTTGTCTCCATGGTGCCACACTGCATGTTCATTTATTCCACGGTGATCCTAAAACGAAAAGTGCGCAAAAGTAAGGATGCCTCAAGAAAAATAAGAATCTCTTTTCGCCGCTGGACGTTCTAAAGAAACATGTGACACATTTTTTTTCACCGCCACGACTTGCAGATCTTCAAAGACTTGGGCTTGGAGCATTTCCTGGACCATCCCGAGGAACCATACGAAACACGGATGTTTCCTGACACGTCGACATGGCATACTTTTCCTGCCCGTTCTTTAAAAATCTTAAAACGAGAGTCATAGTAAATGAATGTAAATGAGATGATATCAAGATTTCTATAGAATAAAGACCATTTGAGTGATACATGTACATGACATCTGTAATATATCTAGATCTAAACGCACACATGCACGAGAATATGAATGAAACGCCGCGCATCCAGATGATATTCCTGGCTGCAGGCCTTCACCATCACTCTGCCAGGAGCTGCGAAAAGTCCTGGAGGCATTTGCAGACCTCGGCTTGGACCATCTGCTTCGGCATCCAGAGGACCATGTCTCATGCGCGCTGATGCGTGATGTCAGAGATCTGAACTCAATGGTATTCGATGGTTCCATTCAGAGGAGCTGAAACTGTTCCTCAGCTCAGCCAAAGAGCTGAGGGAGATGCTGGAGGCCAACGTTGCCAAGCAGCTGCAGCAGAGGGGTAACTTCTGACCCGGGGACCCTGAGAGGCAGCGGGCTTTGGAGATGTCTTCAATGATCCCTCCAAGTTGGAGGACTCCAGCTGCACCGTTTTCGAACCCAGCTATCCTCATGTCGAATTGAGGTTTCACATTGGTTTCACCGTTGCAGGAACTCAGAAAGCAGTTGGATCTCCTGAGACAGCTGGAGACTGAGCTCAAAGCCCCCACTTGGCAGATCCATATTGAACTTTCTGGGGATACACAAATACAATTTTCCTGATTTGCAGGACTTGCCCGACTTGCCCATCCGAATTTCATACCTATACCATTTTTTTTTGGAGAATAGGGGTCACATCACCTGCCAAAGCTCTGCCAGGGTGCGGGAGCTCTTCGAAAAACATGGCCTTGGCGATGCCTTCAAGGCCAGTTGGGCTGGTGATGGCGCTGTGAAGGAAGAAACCCAGCCATTTTTTCTGCACACAATATGTTTTTATATTATGTTACAAACATGACTAAATAACGAATGATTATATGATTATTATATGATTATTATATGATTATTATATGATTATTATATGATTATTATATGATTATTATATGATTATATATATATATATATATAATAGTCGATGGTAGAAGCCCAACTTGCCAGGATCCACCATGGCAACGGCACATCCATGGCACACGAGGATCCCTCCTTGCTGGCTGAAATCTTGTCCCGCTATGAGGTGCGGCTGCAATCTACCCCTGTCGGTTGATGATTAGTTCAGGGGATTGTACTGCCCAATATATTGGGGATTATAAAGATCCAATAGAGAATCCCTATGAACCAGCTTGAACCAAGCGGTTTGTTTAAATGCCTACTCAGTACTTACTCTTTCGCAGGGCCTGCGAAAAGCTTTCGAAGAATATGGCTTCTCAGAGCTGTTTGAGGTCAGGGATTTTAAGTTGAGTTCAGGGTATGGGCAGCATGCAGCGCAATGTGCAGCATGCATCATGATTAGGTCGTGTTTGTCGTGTTTGGGCCACCCTAGACATTGATTGAGACTTTGAGATCTTTGAGATTGAACATGAATAAACAAGACGGATAGGCGCGGATCTGCATCTTGGATTCTTGACTCTTGACCCATACAAACCGCTGCCTTGATTGTCAGACCGGCAGGACCCCTACAATCTGAAAGGTTTCCTGCGGAACTATGCAAAGCTTCGCCAGGTCAGGGGCTGAGCGTCAGACCTTAATCATGAACTAGCTGTGCCCAGTCCCCATTCGCAAGCCATGAGGCCTTCAAGGATTTGGGTTTGGAGTACCTTTTGGACAGTGCAGCTGCACGTTCCTCAGTCTCATTGCTTGAACAGAAAGTTGCGAAACGTATATATATATAGCAATATATTGTAGATATAGACGCCTGCATGGAATGTGTAGATGAACCATGGATATAGTGTGGTAAAGCCGATATGACAACCAGCGTTTTACCCGCTACTGAATGAGGGTATCCTGCATTTACCTACTAGAATAAACCAACCCCATACCCAACCAGGATGTTCTCTCCACAGGCCATGAAGGACTTCCTGGCAGGACACACCTCCGAAGAGCAGGAGTGGAGCAGCGGCATTCAGTGGCTGCGATCTACTCTGGTTGGTTGATGATTAGTGCGGGGATTCTACTAGTTAATATATTGGGGATGAAGGTATAACCCAAGGGATGACCCAAGGTTTTGAACACAGCTCATATTTTTTTGTCGTTTTTCTCCTCAGCCACAGGGAAACTTACAAATTTTGAAGGCTGTTAAGATTTCTGGTAAGTGGTCACAAATCCATTGGCAATTCTTGTTGTAGAAAATCACGCACACGCACACACAGGTTTTCATACCCCGAAAAGGAAAGTCACCATTCACATGTTAGGATAGGAATCAAACATGAGGCAAAATCCTGGTTTGCTCCTAGTGAACTGGTAGTTGTGGATGTTCATCCCTTTCAATTATGGTATAATTGGTATAATGTGATAAACCCATAATATTTGATGAACCTATAATATTTGATGTTTATACCGTCCATATCTGGTCATATCTGGTCCCTGAGAGGGAGGTCCTCAAGGAGCTCCTAGACCTTCGGGCCAAAGCTTCCAGGCTTGAGGAGGCTCCTGAAACTGTAAAAAGTGGAGTTTGGAATGATTGGGATGCTTGAGAATGTTGGGATGTTGTTTTTATTTTTGAATTTTGGGATGTTTGGAAATTCTTGGGATATTGGCGGGGTTGGGGGACAAGAGACAATTTGAAGATTTGTTAGAGTTTCCAAGAAACGGAAAATTGTGATTTGGGGAAGAACGCATTGGTCTTTGAAAAATCGGCGGGCAAAAGTGAGGGTTGCGACAAAGATGTTTGGAACCATGAGGCCCAAATGTTTGCCTATTTGTAGATTTACTGCTACTGGACGGTCGTGGTGTGGGCACGGTTTGATACTCGAAGCTATGAGAGAGCAGGTTGAAGAGAGGCTCAGAAGAAGAGAGGAGGAGTTGGTGGGAGGCTCAAACTGGCACCAGCTGCTTCCACGTCAACCAGCAAAGACCGCAGGAGCTGGTTAGAACTGGATGACAGTTTCCACTTTCAATGAACACACATTCCAGTGAGTCCGTAATGGCCAATGCATTTTGACAAGTCTTGGATCCACCCTATTTTAGTGAGGGTCCAACCTCATCCATTTGCAAGAGCCGAGGCCAGGGTGAAGGAAGAGGCAAAGAGCTTGCGAGAACGGCAGAAACCTTAGTGGTCATGACGATTGTTCAGCCGAAGCTGGACATATCCTTGCCACTCACAAAATCCTGTTTAATTTACGGACGGACGGACGGACGGACGGACAGATCGATAGATAGACAGATGATATATGTACATAATATTATATATTTTGTGTAGATATCTGTATCTATCTATGTTATGTATATATATATACACGTATATATATAATATACACAGACACACGTAATATATACACGTACCACACTGGGTCACTAGGGGCTCAACAAGCCTGACAGCTCCAAAATGAGTGGCCATTGCCTATGCTGTTGCTGCTTTTTGCCTCCTACCACCACAGTAGAAACTGAGGCTCTCTGCTTTTGAAGCAGCCTGACACTCAGACGCTTTCGAAGAGTCAGAATGCCATTTACCTTACCGAGTTTTCAAGCAGCTTTGGGGTAGATATTTATTTTTTTCGGGGACTGTCGGACTTCCTATTTTTAAAAACCATCCCCCAAACATGATATGAGATAGTTACTGTACCATGAGTTATAGCTGGCTTAGCACACCTAAAAAAGCACCCCCAAATCTGTTGCCGTGACCCATCTGAGTCGAGGTTGGTGACCTGGACTCCATGAAAAGGTGGAAGAGCGTCGTCCTGGCTCACGCGCTCACGCTACGCAGAAATGATCATATCGAAAATCTCCAAAAAATGATGATTATTTCTCTTTTTTAGCTGATATGATTGATATGTATACACATTGATACTGATCATTTCTCACTGGTAACTCCCCCAAAAAACCGTTTGCCAGGAAGCCCAACAGCTTGTGGCACTGCTGCGTGCCAAGGTCCCAAGAAGGAGATGTTGTAGAGATATTTATGGGAAATGATATGGGAATATACTAATACCAACCATAGTCGGGATGTATATATATATGTATATTATAATATATTATATATTTATTCCTGTTGCTGTTGGTCTATTTCGATCACTTAGAGTCCTTGCACATTTGCTCCAAATTGTAGGGCAAGCAGTTCCTTTGAACCATACATACTGGGTTTGCCGTGGATATCAAACATCCCATAGACTCAAAACGGAGGGTGTAGTCAACGTCTGGAAACCATTTTGTACAGGGGGTCAAAATGATCAAGATAACATCCGAAAAAAATGATTTCGATGATTTCGCATCTTTGGAAGTTTGGTCCCCAAAGTTTCATGTTTTGAAGATCGGTCTTGGTCCACCTTTGGTCCTAGGGCCAACCCACACTGGGCCAGGGCAATGCAGACGGGGAGCTGGCTGAGCTGCGGAGAGAGCTAGAAGAGAAGGACCAGAGGAGGATGTCCCCAAGTCCTCTCTTCCCTTGAAAAATCTCCATTGGATCATCATTTTCCCAACATTGCCCATGAAAACATCGATTTTAATGGGTCAGAAGTCAACAGCACACATTTTTTTTGGACAAAACCCTGTGTGGAGTATTGGTGAATACCGCACAATGGCGGGTGCTGATGCTCCCGGTAGCCTGTGCAGGAGAGGGAGAGGCAAGAGGCGCGTTTTCTCCACGTTTGTTTCAATCCTGTTCTGAAATTCAGTTCACTCAGATCACTCATCAGGGCCACAAGGATTGCGATTGGCCATAGCTGCTTTTGGCTCACCTTGGCACGTCGTGTTTTCTTTGATTTTCCGATCTGCTGCCATGTCGTGTTCCGGACGCATTACGATGGGTCAGCAAGAATACTTTGGGAAGGATTTGTGACATGGTCATGGACTATTCTAACACTAGAGCCTAAATACCCTAAACAGATATCTCAGCCCAAAGTCGCTTTGGCACATCGCAAAGTCCAGGGCCACTCGAGCCGCTATCAACATCCAAAGCCAGCAAGGCATATAGCTGCATATAGCCAACTCAATCCAGTTCAACTAATTCACAATGGGACCAGTTGGTTGATCGTTTTGAAGGACCGTTTTTGTTTTTGCCCGCTGGAAATCAGTTTCAGAACCGCTGAAGCCGCTGAGGTTCTGGGAAGTTCCAGGCATGAAGGCTGGGTCTGGCAATCCAAATGGCTGGTGATTTCGCTGATTTGAAGCCACTGGCATCCCTACTGTAGTCAGAATCTTAGACTGTATCTTCCTTTCATTGTCCATCTGCACGTAGCGCCGAACAGAGCCTGCTTTGAAAGTCCCAGATTCTGATACTGCCAATGCCACAAGGGTGTGTTCGAACATGTGGTATACCTCAAATCACCTTTTTTTTTGAAAATTATTTGTTTTGGAGGTACCCCATTTTCAGACAAACAACATGGACGAGACTTGGATGTCTTGAACCATTCATAGCATCGTTTTTGGCCCCTGTGCTTTGGCAGGCCGGTGTTGTCACTGGAGATCTTGCATGGTCTCTTCTGCAACATGCCAAGGAGACACGGGATTAGAATGAATCAGAGGGAATTAGTTGATCCACTATATAATCCATTATAATCCCTTTTCCCATTCATATTCAATACCCATATGGGACCCCCAAAATGAATACATCCAATACTAAATTTACTACATCATTTTGGATGTATACGAATCCAAGTTCCGTTTGGGTATTCTATTTGGGCAGGGATTCGTGGATCATCCCAACTGGAATCCCATGGCGACTTGGATCGAGGAACACAAGTACGCTATCCCAGCCTTCAACTGCACCAGTCACCAGCTTGGAATCCGACCATTTTCTGGTCCAGAAAAAATCCATTTGAGTCGATTGGCTGCCTCGCTGTCAGGTTCCAGCACTATTAACTCAGTGCTTGAAGCGGGCAAGGACCTGGTCGCTGGAAGAGTCTGATGGCTGGAGCGTGCGTTGATGCGTTGCAAGGGCACGACTGCCACTGTTTGCAGGAGCTCAACCGTCCCGTGATGATCCAGTTCTCAGAGGGAGGATCCGCCTTTGCAGCTTGACCTGAAACCCCGCCTTCGAATTTTGGTGGATTCCGTTCAACGCATTAGTTTTATGTTGAGGACTTCTGAATTATTGATTTTTGGCGTTGGCGACTCGATTGTTTATATTGCGTTGATACATACATATAAATGGTAATCATTTACATGTGCCATGCATTATGTTCATACACTTTATTTGTAATTATCCACACACACACACATGTGTGTGTGTGTTTGTGTATATGTATAAGTATGTAACATACACATGTATTTGGATAAACAGAAAGCAACGATTGGTGTATCCTCCAGCAACCTTAGACACGCTTCAAGGTGGCTGGCAAGGCGCTACCAAATGAGAAGGGCAAGCTGCAGGTGCGGGTTATGATACCGGAGATGTGCCTTAACCCATCTATAAAATGGGTGAAATAACATGACATAACTATAGTTGTTAACCACTTACTAAGTGGGATGATCCTCCAAGTAGGGGCTTATAGTATCAATGGGATGGGATGGGGATATTGTTCATTGCTCATTTGGGTTTTCTCTGAAACAAATGAGAAAGTTCCAAATCTACTGGTTGATCTTATCATTTGCCCGTTCTTCACGGGCCAACATTTATGGGCAACTCCTAATTTTCTGAAATTTTCGGTCGAAGCCAAATTGATATCATTTGGTGGTCCAGACACTTGGACCCATACAGATTTGCTAGCGAAAATTCTGCTAGTCTTTTTTTTCTTGCAGGTTTTTTTTGCAACTGTCCCAGACTGGCTTTCCAACCAACGCATCTTATTTAGGAATTTCCAGCATCTTGTTCAGATGGTCGCTGGAGACAAGATGTAAAAAAATGAGACATCGAACATCGGCTCAGTTTTCTTGGCATGGCAACGAATTGGTCAAATCGCAAGTCTTGTGGAGGCCTAATTTTTGCTGGTAAAACCACCATTCCTTGGTGCTGAAAAGTTACAGTTTGCATGGCAACACCACTCCCATTTACTCCCATTTCTTAGAACCGAAAGCTCGATGGTTCAACCCCCATTTTTGTTGCCTTGCCTAGATTTTTTCTGCTTCCAGGCCTCCATCCTGGGAGCTGTTGCAGGTGCTCACTTTGCGCGCGCCGTGGCACCCGCGTATGGCATCCCGGTCCGCGCGGCGATTTTGTGAAGACTAGGATCGGGGGCGCGGAAGTTTCCATCACAAATAATGAGAAGGAGGGCTTTTGGGGGGGGAAAAAAATTGGGTGGACCTTTTTTGCAGGTCTAGGAGTCTAGGCAGCAATGGAGCCAGGTCTTGGTGCACTCCGACCACTGCGCCAAAAAGTTGCTGCCATGGTTCGATGGCTGTGACCTCAGCTTTCTTTTTGTTTTTTTGATTTCGATTCTATAGATTTTTATTGATTCTTTGTTTTTCCCGATTGCGCTGTAGAAGTTTCTCGTTTATTTGGAGGGTCTGGGGGTGGAGGTGTGTTTGCTCGACTTTGCTTTGCCATCTGCAACTGTCTGCAGCCGTCTGTGATCAGGACGACATGGCCGTGCCTATAGCGAATGTGACATGTCAATGCATGATCACGTGCCGAAAATATCTTTTGTGACAGGTGCGCTACTTTTCCATGACCTTCTTAAGATGATTTTCATTTTGGTGAGCACTTTCGATGTGTGGTGTTGCGTCTTTTTCTTTGCAAATCGGATTGGTACTGCTGCGTCAAGTGGTGACAAAGTGCAAATATCACAGCACACACAGTACATCGTGAGAGTGCCATTTTTCGTGGCAGGTGCAGTACTTGGCGAAGTTCCGTCGCGCATGGAATGTCATGCTTTGGAGTCTGTTTTTTTCGCTTTCCACATCAGCGCGGCTGCGCGGGGTGCCATGTTGCGTTGGCCTTTCATTTACGTGGCAGGCGCGATATTTGGTGAAATTGCATGCAAGGGATGCAGAGAATTCCCTCACCACTCTACTCAACACTGTACGCTTCCCCACTCCACTTCACACTCTACACTCCACACTCCACACTCTACACTCCACACTCTACACTCCCCACTCTACTCTCCCCACTCTGCACCCACACTCCACACTATAATATGCTTTACTCTCCTTGCATTACATTCCACACATTTCCACTGTACACTCTACACTTCGCGCTCTACACTCCCCAGTCCACACTCCACAGTCTACCATGGTACAGTAGCAAGGGAAAAATACAGCGCTGTTGTAATTACTGTAGTTTTTATGCAAAAAGTGTTTTGCGTGATGTGCATTTGGGTTTGTGGGTCGGATCGTTTTTTTTTTTGGTAGAGGTATTGCTATACCTTGGGCAAGACGACTTTGACTGCCGATGTACCTTACGAATTTTTGGAGCCAGGCTGAGGCTTGTGCCTGCGATCTGAGGCATGTTGGAGGCTGACGAGGCATACTTCAAAGAGCATGGAGAGCCGCTATTCTCTTCCCACATGTTGGATTTGCAGTGCGCTCAATCACCGTATCTGACTCCATTTGCAATGCCGCTACTTTCACAATCATAGTTGTGCTGAAAAGAACTGGCAAAGGGTGCTGTCGTTTGGGTCTTCACACAGCAGTTGAGGTCCGAAGAGCCAGATGAGGAGAACATTGAGATTTGCGCCAAGTGCCCTGCGACAAATGCAATGGCAGATGGCTATGTGATTCAAACTGAAGCCAAAGGTTGCCAAGGGCTTGCCAGAAAGCATCCCAAACAGTAGTCCTTTACACCACTTGAACAGCCAATGAAGGTATTTGAAGCGTATGGCACCAATGAAGCTCATTCTGGAGATGGAGATTGGTATCACAGGCGGTGTGGAGGATGGTGTGGACAACAGCGGTGCTGCCAAGGACCCCGCAGCAAGGCACCTGGTCACCCTCAAATCTCGCCTCTGGCAATTTCACTAGGTCAAACCTGCACATTTTTAGTGGGAAATCCCATGGAAATCCTCCGGAGTTTTTTTGATGCGACAATGATCTAGAGGATTTTCCAGCCATGTTTACCTGAGAGACCGCGCTGGACAGGAGAAGCTCTACTCAACTCCACAGGATGTTTTCAACGTCTACAAGGGCCTCAACCCCATCTCTCACATGTGGCTGGCTAAGACCTGACTCTGGAAGCACCCTGTAGAGTTGAAAAATTGCTGAGAGGGCCCCTTCATGTCAACCAATCCATGGGAAGTTTCCCACCTGCAGGTTCACCATCGCGGCTGCCTTCGGCAATGTCCATGGTGTTTACAAGGTAGCCATCTTTCCAAAATGGCTGCAGACTCTACCCGAATGGGCGGGAATTTGATAATGCTTAATCGCAAGGACCGTCGTTTCATCTTATTTCTTGCCAGTTTTTTTCCCCTTCAATTCAATGCATTGAGTCTTTTGAATCAAGAGCTTGCCTTGCGTCGCTGGCTTCAGCTGGTTGAAAGGCTGGCAATGTTGTGTTGAAGCCCGAGATCTTGCAGGCCCCCAGTGTTCATGGCCTTTCCAACATCCGTCATGTCCCTGTGGCATCCTGTGGCCCTGTGGTTTGTGGATGGGGCAGTGAGGAAATGCAAGACTATGCCCGTGAGCAGATCAAGGCATCGACCGGCGAGGACATCGAGAGGTGCAGATCAGGGGTTGGTCAATGTGAACAATTGGGGAGTTTGAACATCACCTTTGAATGATTGCAAAATACTTCAATATGTCAATATATGTACGTATATTTCAATGGCTGTTAGATGCAGAAAAAAATCTGCCCTTTTGATGGCAACATGTGATAAGTTGAATGGGTGGTTGAAATATGGACAGCTTTGACCTGCAAGGCCCCTGAACTTCGTGTTCCACGGTGGCTCTGGATCCGAGAAGCATCACATCACCACTGCGTGAGTCTTATGCAGAGAGCACGAACAAGCACTAACCTTGGCGGAAAACATGAGTAAGATTTATTAAGATTCAGCAAGATGACAATATATATATATATGTATATATATATGTATATATATATGTATATATATATGTATATATATATATATGTATATATATATATATGTATATATATATGTATATATATATGTATATATATATATATATAATATTATATATTTATATTGCAGTAGCTGGTTATTGTTGTAAGAAGAACTTTCCAACACTTGCCATGCGTGTCTGATGCGGGCGTGCAGGCCTTGAATGCTGGCGTTGTCAAGATGAACGTGGACACTGATACGTGGGGCCCAAATTGAGTGACACCTTTCACAGGACCCATCCCTGAATGCCCCGAAACCGAGGCAGTGGGCCTACTGGGAAGGCCTATTGAAGTTCTATAAGGCTAAGGAAGGTGGCATCCTCAGGTTGCTGCATCTTGCTTCCACATGCGATCTGCGGTATTGAAACAGGTTTCAGCACAAATGCAAAGTACCCATTCTGGACTGCGAAATTGTGAGAGGGAAACATAACTAAGATATGAGCAGATCGTATGGCAAATTTCAGCCACTCTTCTACTGTTGCCTGGGCCCCTGACATGCTATTGCTATTGGAATCCAGCAAGTAAACCAGATATTGCCAGATGTCGCCTTGTGCATCTTGTGCATCTTGTGCCCACTTTCCCCAGTTTCGTACATCTCTTTGGTCTGTGCTTGTCACGCATCGACAAATTCTGTTTTGCTGTTTCGAACAATGTTGGCAATCCGGCAATCCTTTCCTGTCACACCACAAGAACAAGGGCTTTCTGGAGTTGCTCATGACTTTCAGGCGAAAGATGACCCTCCCCTTTCACCTCTCAGCCTCTCCCCTGTGCCCGATTGTGCCCGTTGGTCACTTTAATGCCAATCTGAACTGACGTTGTCGATGTTGGCACTCAGAGTAGAGCGACCACTGGAACATTGACCAGCACGTTTTGCACGTAGTTCCTCTTTTTCTACGTTGTTCTTATACCCAGGACACCCAGGCGCATGGCAGGATTGCAAATCTTGTATCACACATTGTCACATTGTCACCCCGAACAGTTAGACTGACGAAACATTTGGGGATGTCTTTTCAGCTTTGAATTGTGAGCTGTTGAGGCTATCTGCAGGGTCAGATTGGCAACCCTGAAGGAGAGGACAAGCCCAACAAGAGCTGCTAGGCAGCAGATGAAAAGCCACCCGCATTTGTCTGCCGAACTTGAGGCAGCACTGAGTGATACTCTACTGACATGTAGTACATGTAGTCAGAATGGTGTGGAAAGCTCGAAGATAGGTGGGAAAGCAGTTCCACAATTTGTCCGTTTTTCGGTTCCGTTCGGTGTAATTGGTTTTCATTGGTTTTCCAAGTGCAACACTTCAAGATACATGTTGATTCGAGCCACCTTACTCTTTTGAGGCTTCTACGACCCGCGCAAATGGATCCGCGAGTGCGAAGTTGCCATGGTAAAGCGCGTGAAGGACTGAAGTCCAAAGATGCGCCAGTGGACCCCGGTTCTGACGCCGGGTTCTTGACGGCGTGATGGGTATTGTGATTGTCTGGGAGCCCGGATCAACCCGACCGGGAAGAACTGAATGTTATGGGCACATGCGGCACATGCAGGAGAGTTGCACGGACCTTTCGAAGCTTGGCTTAGTGGCTCTGATCCTCGTGAAGCGACGAAATGTCTAGCTGGAACACCAAATTAACATCCAACAGCAATCTCTTTGATGCTTGACATCCCCAAGGTTTGACATTTGGCTGGTCCTCAAAAAAAAATAAGGGTAGCCCCCCCGGTGTTTCAGAGTCCTTCGCCTGTGTTTGCTTCGGGCTTCACATCTTGCCGGCTTCGCTGGGAGACCCAGTCCAAGCTGCTAATAACCAAAGCAGGATTGGCCATGAACCAACTGGTATGGCAGGGACGACACTTGCAGGTGCTTTGAAAATTATTTGGATGTCACATATATTAAATAGATGCAAATAGAACTATTCAACAACTATTCCATTTGCAAACAGCTTTGCAAACAGGTTGCAAGTGGTAATAAAACAGGTCATTTACCAGCTGGTGGGGTTGGGATCGATATCCCTGAGGCCGGTGGAGATGTCGAATGCGAAGGCAAGCCGGCTTCGGCTGTGGTCGGCCAAGCTGTTTTTGTTGTTCGGCATTAGATACAACCGGATACAACCGGATACAACCGGATACAACCGGATACAGCATGACAACATATGACAACATGATTCAAAGATCTCTTAGCTTGTTTCAGCCAGTGAAGAATCCGAATTACAATAGCTTGGGAAAACACAAGTTTCGATCCCAGTTGCTTCCATCCTCACACTGGGCCAAGGAATGTGAACTGAAAGGCGCTTTATTGCAGCCATGATGTCGCCTAGCGCGCGGCACGGTACGATTTGTTCCTGTCAAGCAGCTAAGGGTGGTACAGACTGCGATGCTATGGTCAGACATAAGTCTGGAGCAGACCATAAGTGTGCTCCGGACTGAACGTTCCATTTCAAAAATTCAATTGATTGCATCCAAACCCCGGCTCGCATCGTGGAAAATTGGTTGACTTCAATGGCACCGTGACGGCTTCGATGTCGTGGTCATGGCTTAAAAACAACGGCCTGTCGAGTCTAGCCAATCTGTTGACAGGCCCTTGAGAGGGAGCGGCTTATGGCGATCAGGTACAAGGAGTGCAACTGGTTGCTGGTAGACATTCTTTATTCTATTTCCGTTGTAGGCTTTGGATGGCTTTGGTAATACTTCATTCACAGCACGTTTTTTTTCCCCCCAAACAGTGTGTCCACACTGAGGGGTTCTTACGGTAACAGTTAAATCCCGGTGTTGAATCGAGATGGTAGCATCCGTGTGCGGCCAATTCCCTGTAAATTTCAGCACAAAATGGCTTGTGACATGTCCATGTGCATTTCGACTGCGCAGGCTCGCACTAAACGGGTGTCGCGGCCGACGCGTGCGGCATTTTCCTTGTAAATTTCCGCACAAAACGGCTCTTATGACATGTCCATGTGCATTTCAACTGCGCAGGCTCGCACAAAACGATGGCCGGGGGCGAGGCGTCCGGCATTTCCCCTGTAAATTTCTGCACGAAATGGCTCTTCTGACATGTCCATGTCCATGTCGACTGCGCAGGCTCAAAACGATGGCCGCGGGCGATGCGTCCGGCATATCCCTGGTAAATTTCCACACCAAATGGTTCTTATGACATGTCCATGTGCATTTTGATTGCGCAGGCTCGCACGAAACAGGTGTCGCGGTATTAGTCTCCTGCATTCTCCCGTGCACACTGGGTCTTGTGGTCTGTCCTTGCTTCTTGAGACCTCTTCTAGGGAGCTTGCACAGAGATCTTGCCAAGAAACCTGCTATGTAGATCTTGTTCGGAGATCTTGCTAAGAGACCTCCCAAAGGGATCTTGCCAACAGAACTCTTATAGAGATCTTGTACAGAGATCTGTGCCAGGAGACCACTAATAGAGATCTTGTACGGAGACCTGGTGAAGAGAGCAGAGATCTTGCTGAAAGATGTTGTCTAGAGTCTAGAGAGCTTCGACAGAGATCTGACTTTGAGATCACTCACAGAGACTCACAGAGATCTTCTGTGGAGATCTCTTATAGACACCTTGCACAGGTAGCCTTACATAGGGATCTTCTCCAGCAGCTTTTACACAGAACCTGTCAAGGAGAACTTGTGGACGATCTTTTACAATCTTCACAAGGGACCTTGCATAGACCTGGCCTGCTGGGCAGCGCGGGACGTGGGACGTCGGGGACGTCAGGGACGTTGGGGACGTCAAGGACGTTGGGGACGTCAGGTCAAGGACGTGAGGGACGTGAGGAGGATGGGGACATTGGGTCACATGGATGTCTTCGGGATAGCGGGGTCAGAGTCAGGGTCCCCTACAGACATCAATGTCCAGCCATGCTCAAGTGTTGCCTTTCAAAACCTTCAGAAAATGAGGCCTCCAAAAAATGCAGGCCGTGTTCGCAACCATGTTGTCGGGAAGATTCTAGCATATTATATTTGTAAAAATATATTCATGTTTCTAAATGTGCATAACAACACACACACATATATATATATACATATGTATATATATATGTAAATAAGTAAATAAACAGTGTGTGTATATATATATATATGGAAATCTATATATATATATATATAGACTTATTGATTGTTTTATTTTATTTTTTAATTTTCTTATTTATTTATTTCTATTTATCTGTTTGTTTACTCATTGATTTGTTTTATTTTTTATTTTCTTATTTATGTATTTTTTAATTTTATTTATTTATTTATCAAATTTTTTGTTTTTTATTTATGTATTTACTTTTTTTTTGGTTTGAATATGAAAATAGGTATCAACATGTAAATTTATAAAGTTTACGCATGTATCAATTGTGTATGTAAATATGGAGATATCTGTGAATGGAAAATGTAAATAAGTATATACATATTACATATACATTTGTTAACACGGCTTCGGAAAACGACATGGAACTGCCTTTTTTCCCCCGCTGCTTCAGTCTTCTTGCTCTGCCTCTTCGTCTTCTGCTTTGCGCCTCTTGG